AGGTCTCCTTTGCGGCAGTAGGCTTCAGTGGGACGTTTTGGCTTCCCAGAAAATATATTCATTTTTAAAACAAACATTAACTACGTGTTGTTGTTTGTACTTCCTCAGTAAGTCAGAGGCCCCAGCTGAGGTTTGGGAAACAGTCAAATCATGTCAATTAAATATTGTCTGGTGTATTGCCACCTTGATAAAGAGAATACAGCCTCGTCATTAATTTATAAAATAAAAAAATACACCCCAATTTTCAGCACTCGATTTCTTAGGAGAGGAGTAATACTAGACAGGAGCTATTAATACTAGTGTTTCTCCTCTAACAAATCTAAGGAATACAAAATTTCAACTCAATTCCCTTCACTATCAGTAAACATTCACTACAACATTTGTAGTTTTGCTGACTGTTGCACTCCTTTCTAGCATAACTGAAATGTATAATACCCTTCAGCATGTAAGATGCACCATTTTTAGGTAGGAAAAAATGTAACTGTCGAGATGAGGACTGCGATTCTCACAGGCTGCAACACTGTGCGTAGGAGGACAGAGTTTAATAACATGTTGTACTGATGTTATTAGCATAGTTAGACTATATGCAGCCTCTTAGGATACATCCAGACAACTTGCTGAAACAATGTGTTCTCTTTCTGCAAAGGCTTCATAACTTACAGAAAACTACAGCAGTGTGCAAGAAATTATGCAGTAGGAATCTGAAATGGCACTTGCTGACAGCCCACTGAATGATTAGCATCTCTACTTTCTGCTCCTGCTTATTAATTCTTAATCTCAAACAACTGACTCCAGAGGCTGTTGGCTACTGTGCAGCTGCTGGACTTGGAACCATTTTTCCTGGCTCCTTTCTCTTCAGCACCTGTCCATGTGCAGAGCTGCTTAGTTTTGATCATGTATACTCTCAGCTCCTACTTAAGCTCAAGTGAGTTTGAAGAATCAGTTGCAGATCTAGGTCCCAAACCAACAAACAAGTACCCAGCCCCTCACACCCAGCTGCAGAAGGAAATTCCTCCATGCATATTTATCAGGTGGGGGGGGATAAATGCAAAACCAGAGACCAGAACTAGGATTTCCCCTACCAGCACAGGACTCATCTGCAAGACTAGTGAGTAATGCCTACTTCCCTCCAGAAAAAGCAGAGGGTAGCATCATCCAGCTTACACTACAGACTAGCTATTACAGCTTTTCCCAAACATGTTTGAGCGCACAGGCTCAAGAAAACCTAAATGAACCAAATTGTCCCACTTTCATCAGTACTTAGTTAATAAATTATTATATAAAAAAAGGTTTTAAAAAAGCTTTAAAAATAAATCAGAGGTAAATCCTTTCCAGTTGTTTGGAAGAAAAAAAACAAACAAACAAACACACAAACACCAAACAAACCAACAGTGATACGTCTCTGTCCTTAGGAGATGACCTCCTACTTTGGAAGCCAAAGGCATACACACAGGCTGGAACGCCAGCAGGATTTGAGACTTAAGAGTCAGTGACTGCATTTCCTACTAAAAATGTGTGTGGCCCCTGATCAACACCTCAGCTGTCTTGGGTTCTGTGCTAAAGCAACTCTCGAAATGCACTACTATGAAGCCAAAACTCCACACTTAGGATTCTAGAATCAAGCATCTAAAATTCAGGGGTTACAATATACATCTCAAGCCATCCAAATCCTTTCTGGGATCTAATGTCAATCTGCCATGACAGTTGATAGCTACAAGGATTAAATAGCAGAAAGATAAATTATTTTTTTATTTGTTTTATAAAGACAACTTATATGTAATCTCATAAGAAATCATTTGCAACTCATATCCAAGATAAAGTTTAAATTCTTTTAACATTAACAATGCACCACAAATGTCAGTATCCCCATGAAAGTATTCAAGTAACAAAACGGACCTTCTTGGAATTGTACAACAGGGAGGCAATTAAAATCGACCCCAAAATTTGGGTATTTGAATATCCCACAGAACAGATCAAGCACAAAGCAAAGATTGCAAGCTTCTTTTCTGTCGGTAGTGAACAAAACAGAAAACAGTACTTTTAAAGGTAACATTAAATGCGGAGTTAAAGGTGTTTATCTGTTGCATGCACCAATTCCTTAATAATCTCATACAGTACAAATGCAACTTGCATACAAATAGTTAGGTCCTTTGATTTCTAGACATGTGTGACCCTACTAACCTGCCTAACCATGGAAAACAACATACTCATTAATTCTACACGGACTGGAGTCGTGCACAGTCACCACTGCCTGCCCCCCTCTCAGCAGCTCAGAGAATGGCAAGTAACTTTTTGCCTAGTTCTGGACAAGGTAACTGGTACTATTAATGGAGCAACCGTTACCTTGAGTTGTTAAGAACAAACAATAATAATAATGAAAAAAATCATCAGAAAAATCTTTCTAGGCATGTATTTCAATATATAATGGAAATGGAAGAAAATAGAGCACAGTATAGTCATGCTAGGTGACATTTAGGCTTCAATCAAAAAATATTTTTTAAAACTTATCTGAGGACTAAGATTTTGGCTACTGAATTACAAGATTTTTTTTTCCCTCCCCTAAACAGCCTAGGCTACCAATATCAAAATACATCCATAGGTATATTGAATAATAAGTATATAAGGCTACTTTGGTGAACAAATCAGCAAGATGTTTTGATCATTACACTACAAATTTGCATAATCCTCAAAGTAGTAGCTTTCCAACATTTAGAATAATGTTCAAGTGAGTAGAACATGAAATGAATTAAATTAATTTAGTAAAAGATAGTATATCCAAAAATTTATGGTCTTCAAATGAAACAGCATACCTTGACAGATTAACATACATTCCTTTCTTTAAAGTAATACAGTTTGTAAACACATGTAACAATGTTTATGTATTAACTAGATGAATAATAAGCTTTTGATTCTATAATCAGTACTTATTAAAGATTCATTCTTTTAACAAAATGCAGCTGACAGTTTCAACAACTTATAACGTTTACGGTGAAGTAATTTTTCCCCTTCAGTGTTCAAAGTACTCAGTACTCGTCATACACATTTTAATTTTCCCAATTGATATCTTTATTTTCATGCACCTTCTAGATAGAGATCATCTATTCATTAATTTCTTATTGGATAGACATGAACAAGTTGTTGAAAAAATGCCTTTTTTTTTTTTCAGTCAGAGATCCATGCTGCTCCCCCCACCCCAAATTCTGAATCCCAAATAACTTATAGTAAAAATACAAATTCTGGTTTTGGAAGATAACATACAAAATATACACCATGTAGCGTGTGCACCTAAATATCTTGATTGTCGAGTAGTGCAAGTTTCCACTTTGACGTATACATTTTTTTTTGTTTTAGAGACAACAGTTTGTTTCACTGATCTTTGCTGATCCCATTTCTTGCCATCTTTGGTAGTCTCTGTCCCTTCGTGTAAGCATGGTACCAGAAGTGGAGAAACAAGACTAAAAACATAAAGCCATAGAGCCAAATAATAAACATGAAAATTGGATACTGGTACGGACAATCATCCATGATGTAGATTTGTCCTATGTGGCCTGTAATCATAACAAACTGGACCTGGAGGAAAAACGTGAAGAAAAGAAGTTTTTTTAAATAAATGACAAACTTATTACAGAAGTTTAAAAAGATTCAGCATAACATGCATACAGAAAAACAGAAAGCGGGGAGGGTGGGGGCTTTTTAAAATGACAGAGATCCACCTTTACAGCCTCTCTCCCAAAATGTCACTCCACTGAAAATCATTTTCACAGTGTAAAGAAAGAGAAGTCCTGGGACAAACTGAACTACAAGCAGCACTGAGAAACCCATACTAGGAGAACAGGAGCCTGCCTGGCCATTTCCGAGAAGAAAGGAGGAGGCAGACAGTGTTTGACCAGTGACAAATGGGAGGCTCCTTTAGCAAAATTAGCCAGAAAAAAAAAAAGGCAATCCTTATAGGACTGGTGAACATGAATTCCCACCTTCCCCACACACTAGCATGTGACAGAAAAGTCTGCAAAAGTCCCAAAAAACAATTTAATGGAGAATTAAAAAAAAAAGTTCCACCTGAATTCCAAGTTAATAATCCACTGGTAATGCCTCCAAGATGAAAAGACTAAGTTATAAATATTCAAGCTAAGTTGTTCAGAGTTACACATGGTTACATGAACTATTCTATTAACACCAGACCTGGTGCAAGCAGGCAGCCATGGCTGCTTCTCTTTGCTCCTTTCCCTCCTCCATCAGCATCCTCACTCAGGCCAAACTAACTGTTTAGCCCAAAGGTGAATTTTGAAAATTTGGCTGTTAAAAAAGCCGAGCATGAAAAAGCACCCAGAGAAGTAACCTTTTGAAAGTGATAGAAGGCTGATACAACACTTAATGTAATTACTGTAGGGGTGTTTTTTAATACTCTGGGTTAGAGAGAAATAAATTATCTAAACATTTATGAAAGAGCAGACATGAAATTCTAAAGAAATAATTCTTTCCCTTTCTTCACTACTAGTCACATGTGTATTCTGTACATTAATTATATTTTCTTGGTCTAAACTTACATTCTAATATTTTTTAAACAGAAAATGAGTTTTGCAAATATATTTACCAAGTACTGCATAACTGAAAAGCTCATGTGTCCAGATCTGTGATTATACTGAACGCTGAAGTCAGCAGATTTAAGTATATAACTGAGGGGAGCTCAGAACTTTTGTTTTACTCAATTACAACAGGAGTAAATATTGTACTCACTGTAAGCTACACACATTAACATAACTAAAAGTAAAAATGCATTGCATTAAGTCTGCGTGAGCCACAATCAGCTTTCTGAGAAGTGTTTATGTCAAAGTAAGTTACCCACAAGTTGTATAGTTGTCATGTATTTTTTCCACCACAAATATTTATGATAGGCTGGTCCCAAAGAACAGATTCCGTAATAAGTGTACATGACAACATGGACAATACAGTTCAGCAAAGCATGAAATGTTCCTAAGCCACCTGTAGAAAAACAAAACATAGTAGTATTATTGCATCAGGTATTTAAAAAGCCACCTCAGGTCCTAGTAGTTTGTTTTGAGCTGGGTACCACAAAACCTACAGACTTTGATTAACCCTCAAGGTATTTAACCTGAATTGGGTTGACATCAATTCTGAGGGATCGTATCAGTTTCCTCTTTTGGAAAAGGCTTATCTAAGCATTTCCAAACCAGCAATAAAACCTAGCTGATGTAATTATCTGTAAAATATTTTAGTGGATTTTTTTTGTTCTTTGGGTTCATTTTTTAATTTTTATTAAACATATACATGATGAAGACACAGACAATTTACTAGAACACTTCTTTTCTAGACATTGTGATGAACTTTGCAAAGCTCTGGAGGATAAGTAAGAATTCCCTCTCCAACACAGATTTCCAAATTCCAAGGGAAAGAATCACAGTTTCAAACAGTAAGTTTTTGGAATCATGACCTAAGTGAGAATCTCACAAATCCATTGTCCATCTCAAAAGCATACTTGACAGTGAAAAGGAAATTTAAGGCCAAGTAGCCCCATTTGGGGCAAACTCATGACTGAAACTGGTAAGATAACCAACATTTCACAAAGCAAGTGAGGAAATACTTCCTTTTCCATTAGACCAACTATGGACTTAGATGAACCTGCTCAAAGTGATTTTATTTTCATGAACACTAGAAATTATAGGTAAAAATGATCCAAGGAGTGGCAGACAACAAAGTATTTTTAAGAAAGATATGAACGTGAAAATACTGAACATCGAAAGAAAAGATGACATAAAAGCAGACATTTAGTGAGGAAAAAAAAGCCAATTTTCCATTAAGAATCATTCAAGTTAAAAATAAAACATATTTTGTGATTTTAGTAGCTCACACTGATCTTCCTGCTGGATAGATAATAACGCCTCCACCTGTGATTGCAAACTTTCTTTGAAACTTAGCTATTTGTATTTTTAAAAATAATTCGAGTGTTCTTACAGTTCAAACATACATACTTTTTTTGGCTTGCACAGTGAATATTCAGAAGAAAAAAAATAAATAGTTAAAGCAGAGAAAAAAGAAAAAAACAACCTAATCAACAGTGCAAAAATATGCTCCAAAAAGCAACACCATACATAAGCACCATTTTACAGTTCCCTGTTTATATCAAATCAGAGAAGAATCAGCATCTCCATTCAAACTCGTTGTTTTTTTTACAAACAGGTTGAAAACTTGATCAATGCTACTATTTAGAAGGACAAACAGTGATGAAACTGAACACGAGGTAATCATCAGCAGGACTGATGGAAAAATATCAAGTTATCAAAAATAACAATATTTGGAAAGATTAGTACAAAGATAAGCAATAGAGTTGTAGGAATAAACACAGCTCTGTATGAATATAAGGGTCTATTACTAGCAGAGGACAAAACAGTTCATGCACACTTTGTTAAAAGTATTTGTCAAATTATCACACAGGAAATTTGGATCTGATGCAAAATGAGAAGCCTGTAGCTGATATACTGATCTGATGTCCAGATAAAAGGCAGACAGTTAATCACCTATAAATGGAACCTTTTCCAGGTTGAAGAGCAGAGACTGTTAGTTGTTGGGCTTTGTTTCTTCGTTTTTTCAAATCTGTAAATACACTGAACTGTATGCTGAGAAAACTATTCACACTTTCATAACTAACTTAAAATACCAGTTACTCAGTAACATTTGAGAAAGACATGATCAAGACACCAGCTTCCTAATAACAGAAATCCACAAATATAGCAGAAGTATATCCTTTTATACACTAAGAAAATCTGCACACTGGACATGTTCAAAAGATCCCATCTACAAATTTTCTGGACTGTTTCCAGGTCTTATTTTTGTATTCATAAAATAGGCACTGACAGATGAGATTTAATAAGCAATGGTTCTCTTCATCAATTCCTCACTGATTTTCTGAGGGAAAAAAACATGCCAGAGAACATGAGTGAAGAAACATGTACAAACCCCCCATGTTTCTTAGTAGAAACTCCTAAAAAAACCCACACCCTCCTAGAGATGGACTACTAAATGACCATGCATTTCTCCACTCTGTGCTTATCAGGCTATTCTCATGGCAAGCTGTATTTATTAGTGGTGCACACTAATAAAGTAGCATAGGAAGATGCATGCACAGACACACACAGCACGAAAGGAGAAAGTGAAGATAAGCTAGAAGTGGACAAAGACTTTCAATTTAGTACAATTCAAGTAAGTTTCTGTAATAAGTAAGGTTCAGAAAATACTTCTGTAGTTTTGTAAAAGCCAAAGTATTAGACGTGAATGAATCCCAATTATGCTACCTGAAGCCAGTAAAAATAACTGCAACAAAGCCTGAATAATTTCTCAAACAGGCAAAAAAAGAGAACACAGTCCTCCCCTCCAGCTCAGTTCTCACATTTCAGAGGGACAAACAGTTTTGAAGTAGTTTCAACAGAGTTATCTGCCTTATACGTCTCCCCTAGCACTTCTGATTTTGCAGTCACATCTCTTTTTCATGTAATAATGCTCTTTGTTTATATTCAGCTCTCTCCTCTGTACCTTCCCCCCCATGAGAAACCAAGACTGCACAAAATGCTGTCAAATAAAAAAAATAAGCACTCCCCACACATTTAAATAATTACGGTGATCTCAGATGTTCCATGAAATACTGCAGACATCTAAACTTGAAAACATTGACGTTCGCAAGATTTTTAATTCTGTTCTTTAAATATTTTTGTCTAGCATAGTTAACTTTTACTACCAGCAGATATGTACAACTTAAACTCTCTCCGCTACCTGCAGCAAATTTGACTCCAAACCACCAGGTCCATGGCATGATGGAATGATGAAAGACATGCAGGAATGTAACTTGGTTGTTTTTCTTACGCAGCACAAAAAATATCTGAAACAGATTTTTAATGAACAGAATGTTACAGGAGATAATCAAGCCCAACATACTTACAGAAAACTGTATGTGTCAGTGCTGGTTGCTCACTACTATACATTTTAAAATTCTTCACAGTTGCAGTCTTGGGAGAAGAAGGGAAACTGAGGCTCTGGATACACAGACTAGTTTTCAAAAAAAATTAAACCAGTATGTAAAATCCACCTGTGGAGTCTCAAAAGCCAGGGCAAGCTTTGAAAGCAAGTGTCCAAGGCTGAGCCATCACCTGTGTGTGCAATGGACAGCATAAGATGCACTTGCTTGGACCAAGAAGCATCTACAAGCATCTGATTTTAAGTCCTCTCAACTAATAATGCAAAGCCATTTGAGTAAATTAATCAAAGGACTACCAACAGGTAGAGACAGTAGAAAAAACTGTTAGAGAAACAGCACTTTATTATATATACTGACTTAGCTACCCTTGGAAAAAGGCAAAATTGGATAGAAGGTATGTAGGTATTCTTAATTGATACTGATGGGCCACATTTTAAAGGACAGACATGGAGGGAAGTTTTAAGGGAAGACAGGGCAAGAAAACTGTAAGAAGTCAGGTCATGCAAAAAGTAGTATCAGATGGCAAGCAAATGAAAACAGAAGAAAAGAAGTCTGGTGTGCCAGGGAAAACATTTGGAGACAGCTGACAAATACAGCGAAGAAATTACTTTTGCAATAAAACCAAAAAACTGCTGAGAAACAGGTACCTGATTGGGTGGATTAAAACAAAACAAATTTTTAAAATAATATTTTTTCAGGCCCAGGAGTAATTACAAAGGAGGAGTCTAACTAGTGAGTAGTAAAGGTAAATAGAGGACTAAACTTGCCAGGCTCTTCCAGCTTTAGCATTCCTGGTCCTTCCATTACCATTCCTGTTGGCTCAGTCAGTAAGATCTTGCCATGTTGAATCACGAATATTTGCAGATGTAAGTTACATGGCTAGCTTTGCTCACAGGGTTTTGAGCATCCTCATGCTCATTGAGTCAGCTCCTGAAATCACCACTATTGTGCCCCACACAATAGGGCAAATGAAATCACAGCTGATTCCAGCACTCAGCTGGTTTGAAAATAGCTAAACCAACTCTGCTAGGTATCAGTCTTGGGAAGAGGGGAAGGCAGCTGGCTGCTGGTGGTGAGCAGGGTCTGCATCCTGCTTCAATGCATTGCTGCTCAGACTTTCTTTGAAACAGGTTAGAGTGCCAGCCTGATACAAACACATCTATAGTCATGACCCCCATGGCATACACAGGAATTTAGAGCAGGTAGGTATGGCAATTTATGCTGCATTCAGAGCTGCTGACATAAATATTCTGAATGTAGAAGATAAAATCTGCAGACGACATGGAAAAAATTCAGCATGATCAACACTGTTTTTTATCTGCAGTGTTGAGAAAAGCATTGCCATAGCACAACAGGTTAGTGTATTCAGCTCTTAAACAGACAAGTTATCAGGGCTTCCTTAATTTTTTAAAGATGTGTTCACACATTAACACTTTTCCTGATAATCAAGGAATGACAGTGTAATGGGACAATAAAATGAGCAGAGATAGTAAGGGTAAACACCTTGATCGTATTTCAATAATTGAAGACTGGAGGGCTAAATAAAAAGGAATTTATACCCCCAGTTCCCAACAGCACCAGTTCTTCTACTGAGAAAAGGAAACATCACTAGTTCTTTTATTAGGCTACAAATACTTACAGTGTCTAGTAATTCAATGAATTTGGAAAAGTAGTAAAGCCAACAAGTTCGTACCATCTGCAAGAGTAAAAAACCCAGAAATTGTCAAATCGTAATAGTCATAAATAAAAGTAAGCAGCTGCTGGAAAAATAAGTAACTATATAAAGGAAAGTATTGGGACAAGTAAGTGGTGTCACAAAGTTGACAGAAATATTTAAATGTATGGTTTGGTTGTTTTTTCTTTAAAAAACACAAAACACTTTTTAATCCTGAAGGAATTTTAAAACCAAGAACAACAAGCCAACAAATACATTGCCTCTTTCTTTCTCCCAAACAATCAACCCCTCCAGTTAACTCACATGGTCTACATTATGCAAGAGGGCATTTCCATTTAGTGCATTCCACTCTATGGCCGTGCATTTGATTGTTCAAAAAGCATTTCTAAAAATAAAGTCAGTGTAACATAACAATTTGGCTTTGTCTTTGGCAACTTACTCTTAGAGCTGTAGGTGACCTTGAGTAGTCAACGATATCACACCGGAATGAGTACCCTGTAGCCCAACCTGACATAAGAAACTGGAGCAGAGAAAAGGGAAAAGGCAGAGACTTACTTTATGTCTTTTGAAAAATTCATTAATTTTGGATTACTTTTGCAATCACTAAGCAGGAGGGGAAAACAATATTAAAAACTTGTTGAATCAGCAACCTTGTCAATCATCTACCTCTGTGTGGGTTAGCTACCACAAAATCCTTTGCTGTTGCAGATTATTGAATATCTAATTCCAAGACCACACCTATAGACAAAAACTTTCTTCCTACACTCATTATTTCAGCATTAGTAACCAAAGAGGACAAACAGCTCCATCTCAAAGCCAATATTAAAAAAAAGGCAACTTACTGTGTACATCAGACCACAAAAACATATCAAACATTTTGAAATTTTCTGAAAATTACTATCACAGCCAACCATAGTAATACTGAAAAGAAACCAGCACAGCACCTTAACAGTGAAAGAAAACCAGCACAACAGAAAAACATGGCTTAATATCATTAAAGACAAGGAACAAATCAATATGCACTATATTTTTAGTATGATAGTTTCTAAAGTTTTGCTTAGTTAAATTGCATGATTCAATTATTTTCACAGATATGAGCAATGAGAAGTTAAGGTTTTACAATTGAGAGCATGCGCCTGACAGAAGGACTGTATGTAACCAATACCATTTAATCTTTTCTTTGGAATATATTAAAGCTGGGACAAGAGCAACATTGTTAATATTACACTTTGCTCATTCCCCTGCCAGCCACTAGGACTACTGTATCTTATGTGTTTATAAAGTGCTTCTCATCCACTGATCATCGCCATCCACTCATGCACGACAGGAGGTTCAGCTCTCTCAACAGATAGACGGATTTAGTCCATTTAACTTCCTAAAAGAATCAATTGCTTAAATAAAACAAGAGTTGAAACACCACCAAGACAGCACAATACTAAAGCACCCACCAAATGGCTCGGTTCCAAAGAGGGAAAGAATCATCTTTTTGCTGAGCACCAGACAACAGCAGAAATTCAATCTGTTACACTCGATCCATGCATTCTTTCACGAAATTGTAGCATGGAAGTCTTGACAGCAGAATACTTGTGTTACTGTCAGATACTAACAGAATTTTTTTTTTTTTTTTTTGGTTTCTGAGGGTTATAACCTAAACCAAACTTGGCACCAAATCACAAAATGAAGTTTGGTGATTTTTCAAAACAAAGCCTGAACAGCCAAGGGGTGCGTGTTGCCTACAGCTTTCCACACAACAGTCACGACACAAAGTAGCTGCTGCTGCACTACCTTCAGAGTACTGTTAAAACAAATGTCAAGTAGTTCACTGTAACTCATGATGAAATTTATGCAAATTGAGCTAACAGAAAGGTATCCTGCCAATTTGGCACAATAATCTGACAACTTTTCATTACCGGTTTGCCAAACCTGAAATAGCCATATAGCCAGATTTAACACAAAAAGAGTCAGTACTAGCATAGTAATGCTTCACCAAGCAAATGTATAAGGCTGTAACTTCATACAATACTGTTGTTAAATAGCTAAACTTTAAAAAACCAACCAAAAAACCCCCAATACCCCCAAAAAACTCCCATCAACCTAAAAATACCCCACCTCAAAAAAACCCTAACCCCCTCCAACCCTCCCCCAAAAAACCAAACCCGTTCTCCAAGCCCCCCCAAAAAGCTCCCCACCCCAGCCTCCCAAAAACCCCAACCAACCAACAAAAGTGGCCCAAAAAACTCAGACATTAGCTATCTTAAGGTTTAAGGTTCTAAATTAAAGCTTCTACATAGCCTATATTATTCACAGTTAAGGATTTTTAAGTCATTCAACCCATAACACTACACAACTCATCAGGCCTTCCAGTCTTAAAGTCTAATATTTACGTGAGCTATGAACTAGAGGAAAATCTCAACATTCCTTTTGAGAGAAAGAGTATTTACTACGTTGGGGCTGGGGGG